ATGCCTTTACTCAAATGTGATTTTTTTTAAAATTCAGAAATCTAAGACTTTAGCGATCATACTTCTATGGGAAAATGACTGTCTCGAAAGACATGTTCATTGCCTCTGCAGCCTTCTGTTCCCCTTTACAAAAGAATCCTGGCAAGTAGCGAAGGGACGGAAGAGGAGTGGTTTGTATTCCCAGGATAACTGTGTCCTTCTGAATGACTATTTCAAGAAAGAACATGCGAAGGAATGAAGCAGTTTAAAAAGAGCCATAGCCACAGATTGGGAGCTTTTCCTCTGTGAGTTCCAAAACCAATTCTTCTCCGATTTCTGTTGAACACAACTGCTAATCAGTGTCATCTACAGTTTGCTTCTAGCCTGATGAGAGTCACATCACACAAAAATAACATACGTTTAAAAAATCTCCCTGTTTTTCTTCTTTTCATCTTATCTCTTTTCAAGAGGTAGTGGCATCATTTCACACAAATTTTGACATATACCTACCAGAAGGCATGTCTTATATTTTCAGGCGTATTTTCCTATAGCATGAATCTATACAAAATGAAATTTTAGCTCTTACTGAAAGTTTATTTAAGAGACAGGTTTAAGCAGCATGCAGGTTTCCAGGAAAAAGTCACAGAGAAACATTTTATAGAAATGAAAAATAAAGCCTTAATCCCCAGTGCTTTATGACTATTTTCTAAATAGACTTATGATGCATTTACTCTAAGAATATCACAACCTTTCTTGATTGCATTACCAAGTGTCAAAATTGAAATGTTTTGAATATCACCAAGTTATTTCCTTAAATAGTTACCACATTTGTAATTAAAGTCTACACTGAGAAAAAAAATTAAAGTTCCCTCAGAATGATAGTGAGAGGAAACATCAATAAAATATAGTTAGGAATATTCTGAAGAGATAGTCCAAGAAGCAGAGTTATAATGTTTTTAAAGTAAAAACTGTATATTCAACATGGCAAAATATGTTATATAATTTAAGGTTTTCAAAGCTAGAATTTTTTCCCCATGATATTGTTGGAAAGTGCACCAAAAGATAGATCATGCAGCATAAATCTCCCTTTATTGCCTAAGAACTGCCAAAATTTTATGTCTGATTGTTTTTGAAGTACTTGGTGTTCCAAGAGGGCATATAATTTTGGTTGAGGGATTATTTGATGGTTGAAATAGGGTGACCCAAAACAAAGCAAACAACTGACCCTGCGAAGTTAAGGCATAAAAATATTTTCATGGTATTTTTTTGTGGCAAATATAGATTAAATACAAACTATTAAATGCAAATTTATCAAACTATCATATAACCAAAGTGCTAAAACTTAGATCAGCCTGGTAAAACCTCATCTCCTGAGACAAGATTACAGAGACGAGTCATCTTTAATGAAATGAAGAATTTGTTCAAACTGGATGCTAACCAGAAAAGTTAGCATCAATTTCAATTTCTATGGTACTCCGGGTTAGCACAAATGACCAAAAATTAAAAAGATAATGAGCAGAATAGAGAATATTGAACTTGAGTGCCTGGCAAACAAATAGCAAGTTTTTGGCTCTATGATGACCTCACTACTAACCAAAGCATAGTTTACGCATGCTCATTTTACAATTCAAAAATATTTTTTCCTTTCAGCTAAGAATAGATTTTTGCCGAGCATGCCAGCCAATTAAAACAAAACGAAAGAATGAATTAGATGTAGGAAAAATTTGCAACGATACTGCAAAGATCAGAAGCATGAAGTAGAAAGTAAGGAACTTTACTCTTGCACAAGAGTACAGTTGCTAAAAACTGAAAATCAGAGTTGAGTCTGGAGTCTCCAAATCGGACCATTCACTTTTTCTCTTCTTCCTTAATTAAACAAGCTTGGCCAAACTAAGTTTTCTCTGTTCATATTGGGACATACAGAATCTATTGTTGTTCTTGGATGTTTCAGATCTGGGACTTCATGAGGCTGCCAGTTTCTCTTATCTTTTCCCCCATTTACCAGATCCAGTGATAAAAGCACCAAACACGCACCCTGACTACATCTAGTTTTTAATTCTTATTTTAAAAGGTAGGCTCTTTTGGACTGAACAAGAGCAGTTTTAGAAACTTTTGGTAATTATTCAAGACAACATAAGGTTATATGCAACTGAAGTAGTAAGGAGGGAGAGGATAAATAGAAAAGGTGCCTTCAGTTGCTAGCTAATGCAGTATCTATGCTTTGTGTGTGTCAAGCTTTTAGTCAACTATTTATTAAAAAGGGCATGAATTATCAGCCACATATTACACTTGCATTTGTTTCTATGCCAATATCAACCATTGCCAATTATTTTTATTCCATTGGGAAAATATCTTTTCCCAGGGCAGGGACAGGACAGAGAAGGAAATTGCAAGTTGATTTGCTGAAAGCTTCATATTCATGTTTTCCACTAATACTCCTTTCTTTTAAGCATTAAAAAAAAAAAAAAAAAAAAAAAAAAAACACCCCGCTTGGCACCAATGTTTGCTTTCTTCTCTTCTGAAATGAAAACTAGCCAGAAATCATTTAAAGAATAAAAGGAGTCCAATTTCTTGAAGAAATATTCCATAGTATTTCATCACATCAGAAAAATATATATATTAAAATGATAAGTAATACTGAAAATCATTCAATTTCAGCAAAGGAGTTATCTGTAAACATGGTGATAGAAAGATAGTTCGACCATTCTACTTTCCGAATCTTAAAATATTTTATACTCAACTGCTTGGGGACTGTAAAAAATGGTTTGGATCCTTAACAGATTTTTTTTCCTATGGACAGTTTCTCATATCAAACAACTTCCACTCTAATTTTTAAAAGAAACTTTAACAACCACATAGAGCAAGAACTCAAGATCATTTTCTGTCAATGAGGTGATCATGTATACAAAGTCCTTATTTCTGCTCTCCATTGATAAGTAATAGTAGCAAATGGAAGAAACTAACATTATTGCCGTAAGAAGCTAACACTGAACAAGAAGAATCAGGATGTCTAACCCTAACAAATGCAATTCAGTAATTAGAAAACACAATATGCGGTTTTACAAGTCAGTTTAGAGAATTTAATCAAAACTGTGCAATCTGCTTCAGTGGAACTATATAGCTAGACATCTCCAGTTTACCTTATGGCATTCTCAGTAAATTTTATGACCTCAATCCACAACCCTTTTTCATTGCTGAGTCTACCCAATAAAAAGACATTAGATCAAGCCAAATTAAAATAATAATAATAATAATTCATTCACAACGAACCATGGGAACACAAATATTGTGTAAGATACAATGAGAAGCTAAAACAAGGAGAGAGAGATTTAATTATAGAAGAAATACAGATTTATGTATCAGATTTATGTACAGATTTATCCACTGGTTTCTGTTTATCATTTGTTACAATACCAAATTGTTTATTTGGAATAAAATTGTACTCCAATTTTCTAAAAATAAAATGAAAAGCTCAAGTAAATGCTATTTGTGCAGGCAACCAAACGGCACTCCACTGGTCTTTGTTAAATTTCATTCTAATGGCAAGAGAATCTGTTTTTTTTTAGGCAAAGTATTTAAGCAGTAAAACGCATTCCCATTAAGTATGTTTCCCCCAAAATTTTTTTTTATATAAATCATTTCTTATAATGAATTATAATTTTAGATATAAAGTATGTTTCTAAGTACAATAAATTACTGAGAATACAGTAATAGCTTATTTTTTCCACAAGAAACATTAAAAACTACTGCTACTGAAAAACTGCATGACTAAAACTTTGAAAATATTCTTTATAATTTAAACTTAAAATATTGCAACTTCTGGTGTTTTTTGATATTATTTTACCTAATGAGCCCTGGCTGTTAAATGTTCTTAATTATGGCAATTGAAGAACTTGCAAAATTGTCTAGAAGAATTCCTTGAATGTTGTTTGGTAAGAAAAACACACACAACACCTCTTTGCCCCATCCATATTTGTGGTATTGTTGACTGAAAATAGATCACATAATTTTAATTTTGAGAACGGTGGTGATCAGCAGCATTCATTTCACAGGGCTTTTCTTAATTTCTCTCTCAAAAGAAATTGATAAACATTTTCACAACAGGTAGTGCTGGATGCAGTCATGCTTGAGTCATATCAAAAAGAGGCGGGGGGGCAGGTGGAAGAAAAGAGAGAAATCAAGAGCTACCACCTGTTCCATACCAAGCTTTAACGAAACCAAAAGTTTGGTTGGGAATGCATGAAGAGGATGGGAATTAGTCTTATTTAACAGTAAGTTAAGTCCGGGACCTGTGATCAGACAGCTTCCATAGAAAATAGGCAGTTCTTCTGGGGAACTGGAACTGGAAATTCCTCCTTTCCACCAAATCACACTATATTTAATGAAAAATATCACACAAATGCTGAGATGTTTACATTTAGACTATATTTATGTTGAACATCTCTCTGATTTCCAGCATGTCAGCCTAAATCAGGTCACCTAATACCACTGATACAGACTTGAGTGGAGGGAAAAAAAATAAAATAAAATAAAAGAGTAGGTCAGCTTCAACTCTTTCTGAAAATCTCTGATCCTGTTACTGCTTGAAGTTGGTAGATTAAACTAATATAGTCTAATCTTCTATTGCTATCCTTATGAATACCATCGGATATCTGAAGTAAAGTGTTATTTCTGAGGGAACTGAACAATAATATTTTACTATAATGATCACAGACAGGGAAGAACCTTGAATATCTTTATCTAAAAACAAAGCACTATGAATCTTCTCACTATTTTGAAATTAGAGTTGAACTCAGAATATTGAAAGTGAAAGGCACGTCTGACTGCTTTCTGAACATTCATTACACACAAAAACACTATTGTAAAACTGTCCAAATTATGTTTTTTTTTCCTCGAGTCTTTTTACAAAATATTAGATAAAACACTTCTGCCAAAGCCTTACCTGTGACCGCTGGACATCCTCTATGCATTGTTTCTCTACTTCTGGGATTGCAGATTTCAACTCTGAATTTGGAAAGAAAATACAGATTTTATGAAGAGATACTTGTACATGTGATAGACTTAAAATGTTAGCTGTTCACTCTCTAAGTTATCCATTTAAAATTAATCAAACAGGTTGTACACATAAATAAAACTTTTTCTCAATTTTCAGTTTGTGTTTAATATGATTCATTTTGCAATGTGTATTTAATACAATCCAGAATTAAATGGTATTATAAAAGAATATAAAACTTGAAAGAAGTCCGTTGCCATTGTCAAAATTTCCAGTTTGTAAGAAGTAGTTCCTCTGTTGTTATTATTCCACAGAAGGTCTAGGGAAAGTGTTCATGCATGTTCTTCCCAAACAGCCCCATCAAAAAGTGTTCTGTCCCTAAACTGTACAGACCATATCTGTTTATGAAAGGCCAAGGAAACCCTTATGGCAACTATTAGTAGCTCTGGTGTTTATTCGTGTCCTCCACCAGCCATTATTTGCTCTAATACAAAACTTTGAATATCCACTATGAAATAGACAGACAAGTAGAGATGGAAACTCACAGTGAGGTTGAAGGAGAATTTGGCTTACTAGTGGAAGCACATCTTATAAAACCTCCATTTCATCCTTGTGCAGCCTGTCTCAAATATCTCAGCTTCACAAAGGGATGATTTGGGAAAGAGAAGGGACCATATTTATAAGCATACAGTCACGGCTTCTCAGAACCTGGGGCATTGAAATTGAAGACATAAAACTAATCCTTCACCTATGGAGTGAATTGCACCACTCATTTGGGGAGGGGGGGGGGGAAAATCAAACCAAGCTTTGACTTTAGTTTTGCC